TACTTATTATCGCTGTACAATTGCGCCTACCAAACCTGTGATGTTTTGTGGGGTTCCCTCTTACCCTTAACCCCACACCCTGGGGCATAAGGTAATTTTATTGAAAATGACATTAATTGAGAAGTTAAAACACTGTTGAGGAAAGGATATTATAAATGTGTAGGCAGCTATGAATCTCAATCCATGAACTGTTGACTTGTGCAGATTAAGCTCATAAGTGACTGGACACTGTTTACAAAAACATGGATGTTAGTGATACTGAAATCCTTCCAATAATATGTATTCACGGCGGTAGAACTGCAGTTACCAAATTAATCCATGTGATAATAAAGCAAAGACGGCATTAAAATAGTGTCTGCTGAAAAAGGCCCTGGGGCCAACAAAGGGCATCCAACAGCTGACAACGCAGTGGTATCACAGAGAAGCTCCTGGTTAAAAGTTTTCATGGCAGGTGAGAGTGAACTTCTATTTTCAGGAGAGCAAGTGAGTCCCCTTGAGATGTTGAGGCTATGCCTGACTTATACTAAAATCTATCATGCTTACTTCCTACCTTAAAGGCCACTTTTATGACAAAGTGACCACGAGCCACATGTGGCTATATTTTTAAAGTTAATTACACTTTGTCGTGGTTATATAATTTCATGTCAACTTTAAGATAAACATAAGTGTAAGGGTGATTTATGATTATAGGGGAAATAGATCTATGTGCATATATTTACAGGTTTAGTAGTAGGGTTGCAGATGGACATTGGGCCTCTACTCATGTATTCCCTCAATACAAGAACACTTTGCTCAACTAAACGGTCATTCCATGATACCCACCTTCCCTACACAATCACTGAAGATAAATGTGCGCATAAGCACATGTGGTGAAGAAAGCTGATGATGCCCAGCTAGCCAAAGATACAGCACCTGGGGTTTTAAAGGACTGAAGGTAAACAAGTGGCCATCTAGCTTGGAAGCAACAAAGCCCATGGGGAAGAAGCACACCAGGCTGTGTGATCACGAGGTGTTGAAGGGATCAGGTAGCAGACACCAAAGAACAAAAAACATCATTGTGTGCTCACCTTCCCCATATAAACGCTGAAGAAAAATGTGTGCATAAGTAAGTGCTGTGAAGAAAGCTGATGTTGCCTGGCTATCGAGAGATATAGCATCTGGGGTCTTAAAGGCTTGTAGGTAAACAAGCGGCCTTCTAGACCAGAAGCAACAAAGCCCACATGGAAGAAGCACACCAGCTTGTGTGGTCATGCGGGGTCGAAGGGACCAGGTATCAAGCACCAAAGAACAAAAAATCATATCATTGTGAATGAGGGTGAGGTGGGACATCCCTTGCAGAGGAATAGTGGGGAGGAAATGAGTCACTCAGGGTGCAGTGTAGCATCGATGAAACACACAAGTTTCCTCTAGTTCTTAAACGCTCCCCCCCCCACTATCATTATGCCCATTCTACCTTACAAACCTGGTTAGACCAGAGGATGTACAGTGGTGCAGATAGGAATTGGAAACACAGGGAATCCAGGACAGATGAACCCCTCAGGACCAGTGGTGAGAGTGGTGATATTGGGAGGGAGGAGGGAAGGGTGAGTAGAAAAGGGGAACCAATAAGGATCTACATAGAAACTTCTCCCTGGGGGATGAACAACAGTAAAGTGGGTGAAGGGAGACGTCGGACAGTGTAAGATATGATAAAATAATAATTTACAAATTATCAAAGGTTCATGAGGGAGGGGGAAGCGGGGAAGGAGGGGGAAAAAAGGAAAAGAAAAATGAGGAACTGTTTCCAAGAGCCCAAGTGGAGAGCAAATATTTTGAGAATGATGAGGGCAATGATTGTATAAGTGTGCTTTACACAACTGACGTATGTATGGATTGTGATGAGTTGTATGAGCCCCAATAAAATGATTTTAAAAATAAATAAATAAAATAAGATGAACAACAACAACAAAAGTGTCAGGGTGGTATTCAGCCTGTCAGTCAGGTCATAGCAGGATGGTGCCTCCTAGTGAGCCTGGCCTTCTCATGAGTAGGGCCCTCAGAACTTCCTTTCTCTCTCTGGCTTCACCTTCCTCCTGGCTGGCCCTGATTGCTGCCAGAGCCACCGCCATTGGATCCATGGGACTTTGCACCCACTGGATGGTGATATTCCTGTATTCTGTCTCATTACATGTAGCTTTGGGAGTTGGAAGAGGGACTTATGGACTAGGATCAGACTTAAGGACTTCAGTTGGACTGGGCTGGAATGTTTTCCTGATATACAATTCGTTTTTGATATAAAGTTCATTCTTACACATATATGAGTGCCATTTGATTTATTTCTCTAGTCAACCCGGCCTAACACAGAATTTTAAAAATTTAAAAATCCAGTTGTACCTAGCATATTACAAGTGGTCAATAATCATATGCCACTGATAGATGCTGTATTAAATAATGCAAATATAGAGCATTTTGATTGTACAGCACTGTCTTAATATTTAGGGAATTTTATGTTTGACAGGGCAGTTTAGAATAGAAATAAAGTTTCTGTTTGCTTTAATTTTTATATTTAAAATTCTCACACCATTATTTTCCTGCCTGTCAAATAACCACACCTCACTCTTCACAAACAAAAATATTTTAAAATAACAGAATAGAATTTTGTTCATTACACTGGTTAGTTATTCTTAAATTTATACTTTTAAGGAGTAATTGTGTTTCAAATACACAAAAGCATTTATTTACTTATTTTAATAATTCATTTTATTGGTGGGGGGTACTTACAGCTCTTATAACAATCCATATATCAATTTTATCAAGTATATTTGTACATAGGTTGCCATCATCTTTTCCAAAGGGGAGCTGATACCAAGGGCTCAAGTAGAAAGAAAACAAAAGTTAGTCAGTTTTTTTTTTTTATAAAATAACTTTTATTTTAAAAACTAGTTAGATTCAAGCACCTAAAAGTTTCGGCTGCAAATGCCACTTGGTGTAGCTGCACTTCATGTTACAGCCTTTGTCCTAGATGCTCTTTTCAAAGTTTCGTACTAAATGATCTTGGAAAACAGAGTTGTCTTTCATGCAAAGAGTAGTTTTGTTTGTTTACTGGTGAAGTTAATAAAAATAATCTCTCTCTCTAAGGTATGGTCAGCTGTATAAGTTCCGGGCAATCATCAATACTAGCTCTCCAAAGAGTAGCAATTACAACCATCACAGCAGCAGTGAGTTCATTCAATGTATGGCCCACAAATGATGTAAATACCCATATGGCCCCTGGCAGAGAAGAATGTTCCTCACCCCTGAGTCTAAGGCACAGTTTGGGCAAGTTTGCTGTCAGTCCCCTTTGAAACACTGGAGAGGTCCTGAACTCAGAGTTGCGAAGGTGTGATACCAGCCCTCCCTGTGTTCCACTTCACTATCGCAGGACTTAGGACATGGAGTCAAGAAAATATGCTAATGAAGTTCATGTTGCCTGCTGTGCTATGACTAATATAGTATTGTGTCTCTAACCCAAGAATCTTGGGTCATGATGCTATTGTATGCTTGCAAGCAAGGTATAATCTCAGACACTACGCAGTCCTGGAGGAAACATGAAAAATGAAATATTTTAGGTATATACTAATTAAGAAACCACATCACATCTAGAGGATA